AGCCAGCAAGCCAGCAAGCCAGCAAGCCAGCAAGCCAGCAAGCCAGCAAGCCAGCAAGCCAGCAAGCCAGCAAGCCAGCAAGCCAGCAAGCCAGCAAGCCAGCCAGCCAGCCAGCAAGCCAGCAAGCCAGCAAGCCAGCAAGCCAGCAAGCCAGCAAGCCAGGCCAAGCAACCAAGCAACCAAGCAACCAAGCAACCAAGCAACCAAGCAACCAAGCAACCAAGCAAGCAAGCAAGCAAGCAAGCAACAAAGCAGAGCAAAGCAAAGCCAAGCCAAGCCAAGCCAAGCAAAGCAAGCAAGCAAGCAAGCCAAAAAAGATCAGCCCCTGTTGTCCCTTTGGGCACTTTGCCATTCAATACACGGGAGGATGCCATGGGTGCCGACGGCACCGGCACAAAGGGGCACACTGCCCGCAAACATGCGGAACCACATGCAGTTGAAGCCGAGCTGTGAGGTGGGCCGGCCTCAAGTGACAAATTTGGTTTACATACATATATGTATATGTGTGTATATATAGCTTTATCTATTTAGTTCTTGATCTACTCAGTTGTTAAACTGTTTATTCACCACCTGTCAGGTGAGGGTTGTTAGATTTTATGTCAGCTGCCTTCCTCCTTCTCCTCCGCCTCTGCCCACCCTGTCCTCAACTCCGGATGGCAGTGTTTCCCGCCGCGAACCTCAACCTCCGGATGGCAGCGTTCCCCGCCGGACCTCAACCGCAAGTTCCGCTTGGCAGTGCTTTTTGCCGGACCTCAAACGGCAGCTCTTTGTAGATTACTGTGTGTTCTCTGTGACTGTCTTGCTGGGGTGATCACTCGAAGTGCATCTGCTTGCAATAATGCTAGTCACATCTGGCAATCGTCATGTTATAGTGGATTGAAATGTCATGGTGGGGATCTCTCGAAATGAAGTAATTGTTTTGTCTGACATGTTCATTTATTCTACTCTACGCAGTTGCAATATATATATATATATATAACATTTTATTACATATTACAGAAATTACATATGCTTGTATATGTGTGCGTGTTTGAGGTCGTATATAACTACTTCTCCGTATGGGGGTGGCGGACCATCACTCACTGCCCAAAGAAGACAGTGACGGAATGATCATGATATCTAGAAGGGACGCCTTCTCGACATACCTGTACCATCCTGTACCTGCATCTTTTCTGACGTCGAATCTCCTTGACGCAGAAACTGGTTCACATTTTCTGCGCTATTTTCCAGGGCCATTTCTGAAGGTGCCAGGCTGCCAGTTTGTCTCACCCAAACTAACCCGTAAAGTGTTTGACGCATTTCTGCAGGCCACTGAAGCAGCACTGTAGAGTGAATACTTGTGAAGTGTGCCACCTGCGTGCATGTGGAAGTGTCATTATGGTCTCACTCTCTAGCTAGGTATCGTGGTTCGTTTCTTTTCCCCTGCGCAAGCCAGGCCAATCGGGTGCTTTCTTCCTCCCAAAATCATGTGCGCCCGGCCGCCACTTGACCTCAAGACTCCACGTCCTGCCTCCTGCACCTCAGCTGGCCCAAAACCAACCTCTGCTTGTGGAAGCTCTTCCGTGAAGCAACGTCCTGGAAGCACTGCGGCCGGGAAATCTGCTGCAAACAGACTTTGAAGTGGCTGCCAAGGAAAGAATGATGATTCAATATTGATCCTGTTAGAGCTGTAGAGGACCTCTGGGAAATTTTTGGGAAAGTATGTATGTGCATAAATTCTCGCCAGCCACCCTTCTTCTTCAAGCCTCCAGTCCGTCCAACACCGGTAGCTACACCCGCCTGCCGACACACCTCGCCGGAAACTCCCTTCAGGGAGTGGTGGACCAGCGCGCTCCAGGCGCTCAAGCACCTGGCCATCGGAAGGCGCTTCCCGCATGCCACCCGGAAATTCGACCTGCCACCTTTGAGAACCGCCTGGACTGGCACCCAGTAGTAATGCCAGGAGTGCCCCGTTCGTAGCTTCCTGCTCCGTTCGTAGCGATGCCGTTTGTGACTAGTGGCGTCTTGTTCCTAGTATATAGTAACATATAGTAATGCCCTTGTTACTAGTAGCGATGCCCTTGTTACTAGAGCCAAATGAAGAACGACCGCTTCAGTGCCTCATCCAGGTTCCTGCTGATGATGGGCTTCCTCTGAGCCTTGAACCTTAGCCATGTGCGACATGTTGATGAGATAGGCCAGGTAGGCCCAGGCCCCGGGACATGTGTTACTTTAGGACAAAGAGCCAGCAAAAAGGAGAATGAATCGCCTACAAGATGTTCTCCAACCACTTTTGGGGTGCATTTCTTGACCCACCCTGCAACAATCAAGCTGTGGACGTGTGTTTCACCCCCTATCCTCCCCAAGTTCCAATGGCAAAAGAGATCGACTGAAACCTGCTGTATTTCCCCAGCTTTGAGTTTGATTGACAGTTTCTCCGACCAGAGTTAATGGGATCTTTGAAGCAATCATGGGACCATGATGGACCATAGCGACTACACTCCACATTGCCATTGTGGCTTGATGAATGTGCTTCAATATGATTCAAGCACTTGGCAGAACCCTAAAACGGCTCTCGTGGTGAAAAATTGTGGTCGCGTCAAAAGCGTGGTGGGCCTTTCACATCAGCTGCGGCACATGTCAGTGATGGTCCGCACCCGCTCGCCAGCCGTTTCGATGACCACGCTCTGCTCATCCTTCCGTCAAAAAGCAGGGCTTAAAGACCACTTTCCAGCTGACAATCCCTGCACAACTCTCACCGGATTGGGCAGGTACAAGGTGCCAGCCCTGGAGTTGCACCTGCTGACCAACCTGGACCTGGCTTCACCTGACCTGCTTCCCCGCTTTCACGGCCCAGATGCACCTCATCCATGTCCTCCATCGGGCCCTCTGAGAGATTCTCCTGAGCCGATGACAGGCTCCGGTTTCACTCGTTGGAAGCGCCGGCTGTAACTCCTGAACCCATGTGCCTCACCCTATCATCCCCTGTTTGAATTGTTTCTATTTCATGGTATGCTGGGAGGCTGGGTAGGCGGGTCTTCTTCCGGTGAACGTTACTCTTGTTGAATTAACATCGCAAACATGTGCCCTTCATGATGCAACTTCGTCTTCATAGCACACAAAGCACGCTGCTTGTCATCTCCTCGACAAAGGGATGGTTGAGGGCATCATTGATGCTTGGACGCTTCTGCGGATCTCTGACCAGCCTGAGCCAGAACTCGGTAGCGCTCCATCCAATCATGGAAGCCCGTGGTGCACCACGAGGTGCAGTCTGAAAAAGCAAACGTGAATGAACATAATGAGCATTGGACAACCCAAACAAGGATTGAAAGCGGGACATGTTACAGTTACATATATATGTCATATGTCGATCAACCCGACAAATCTTCCTAAAGACCTCGAGAATGCCGGTTTCACATGTTCACTCTCTTCCTCATGGCCTTGTTCTGGTGATTCTGGTGACACAGAAGTGCGCGGAGCAGGCTTCAGTCTCTCAGCCCAGAATCGCACTGTCCGGCCAAGGGGCAAGTACCGGCAGAAGGTTTCTGCCCCTGCCATCCAGCAAGTGTGGTTTGGGGTTGAACATGTTTCCCAAATGATTCCAACATGGTCGCCTGAACACGGGGACTGCTGCCTCTGGACAGGCAATCACTGGGGAGGGTGCTCCACTGCTTTCGTGCACCAGGAAAGCCTTCTTTTGGACCTTTGTGCCACCAGAGATCTGCACCCATCTTACTCCGGATCTTCCGGTCTGCGGAGTTCCCTCCGCCTGACGAAGGTTGCTGGTAGTGTTTGGCCAACTTGGCATTCCGCATCCACGCGGGCGGCGGAAAGGCATTCACGATCGCCTCGACGCATCGGAAGCGGCTGCCGCGGCTGGTCGGGTCCGGGCCACGCGGCAAGGAGATGGGCATGTTGGGCAATCTGATTGCACAGGTGGTGAAGGGCAATTGAGTGAAGGATTGGATTCCCAGGGCAATATGATTTGCACTCTCTTTTCTTGCCAATCTGGTCTTAGGGAAGGTTTCAGACAAAAACGTCTGAGGTCCGAGTCAAGGGTATCGACTGCCAAGTGCAACCACCCAGACTTGTTGTTGTGAGCCTGGTTCAATATGCTATAGGCTATAGCCCGATGGAAGCGACATCTGCCCCACATGCCAACATGTAGGAGTCCAGCACCCCAAGGATCCCACCTTCTTCACAGATGCAGCTGTAGGCTGGGATGGCGAGTAGGGTACATCGCCATAAAGGATCACATACCTCAGCTCAGTGAGCTGCGCTGCGCTGCCTGTGTAGGTCTAGGGAATAGGGCATGTGTAGGTGTGGGGTGTCCAAATGCCTCATTGATGTTCCCATGAGGGACCTAGAGTCTATAGAGGTCACTTGTTCTTCACCCATCTCTCCCAGCTCGCTGGCTCAGAATGAGCTTGTTGTGGCCACCAACTCTGAAAACCCCTAGGATCATGGAGCTGTGGATTCTAAGATCCTATCGAAAATTTGAACCACGACTCCGGATCCCACCTCCTGACTCCAAACGCTTCCCGGTCACACCGTCGAGGCAAAGGACCAAACATCCTCAGCACGTCTGAGACCATCATGATCAAGCAGGCCGTCTTGCACCCCCACTTGTTCACCAGAACGTCTTTTCCTTTTTACGTGTTCACCTCTTTAGCCAAGCCTCTGTCTGTGTATTGTATTTCTTTCTGGCCAGCATCTCTGGAGACATGTACGGTGCAGTGCCAGAGACACCTGGTGGGCTCAAAGATCACCATGTTCAATCGGGTGTCTAAAGTTGTTGAATGACACTGATGGGCGGCTACACATGTGGTTGTCAGCTGTAAGGTCCCACGCATACGAAAATGAGTGGACCATGCGCACTGATCTGGACTCCTACAGGGCAATGTGGCCCACCAACTAGCAAAGTTGCACCCTCAAAGGAGAAAGAACATGTGTACCATCTGCACGTGCTGTACCATCATGCTGCCGACCTCCAATTTCAACTGATGCAAGGGGAGGTGTGTTAGAGTGTCGCTGATTGAACCCAGCATGTTCTATCCTCCTACTTGCAAACCAGGAGAATCATCAAAAGAGCCCCCTCATCGTGCTCCAGTGGCGCTCGAGAAAAGCCCACGGCCGCAAGCGGGGCCTTTCACATAGCCACTTCTGGGGAGCTTTACAGCGAGGCCCATATCTGACAGCTTGATGATATCCTGAAACATTCCGCCGTAGAGAAAGTTGTCCAACTTGATATCTCCTTAGACATCACAAAACCATGCACAACAAAAACATCAAATGTGAGAATAATTCAAGAACCAATCTACTCATATCTGCTCTACAATGGAGGGCAAGTGAAGGTCCCCCTCTCAAAAATATGATGTTTTGAGCCAGTGGCATCCTCATCAAGCCAAAAGGATCAACGAACGGCACGTGCCAAAGGTTGCCCGCTACACACACACACAATCACCAGCACAGCACCCGTTGCATTCAAAGCTCTGTGCACGATTCCGGCGTTGTGACAAGCTCCGATTCCCAGCAGCATCTGCCCTGAGTGCAGCGGTTCTCTGGCTGGGGGACGCTTTAGTCTCACAATGAGGCCTCGAACACATGACCTGCGCGACCTTCTAGCAGCCGGTGTCTGCATTGGCTCAAGGTCAGCAAGTCCCTCGCCCCGGCCGTTCGCGGCTCCAAATCGCCAGGGCACGAAACATGCGACGTAGCCAAATCTCTGTGAGCTTTGGCATGTCACAAAGGCTGTCCATCAAAGATCCATAACACCTGCCAGCTGCCGGAGACAGGGGAGTCCATTTGGATCCATTGGGCCGCCCAATTCCGCAAACTTGAGGCCGAGGGTTGGTAACACAAGCTAGCAGGGCGGGGGTTAAGCGGGGGGTATCCCAGTGAGAAAGGTGAGAAGATAGATGCATGGAGGGGGGTGCTGCCAGGAGAACAGAACCCCTGGGTAGAAAAGAGCGAAAGTGGCGGTAGACGATAGTCGTTGGGAAGGCCAACCCTCTACCAAAGACGCTGGGTCTCATTTCCATGTCTGCTGTTCAGATAGCTTCTTCTCTCCAAATCCTGCCGCCAGGAACAGTCGGCCCCCTGCCAGAGAAAATACACATGTCCCAGAGACGTCCCAGGGAGGAGTTCAGTTGAACCCGCGGGGGGTTCCTATGTATGAAGTTTTCACACGATGCGACGCTCTTGAGGATTCCAGCCCCTCACTTGCTAAAGCAAGAACAACTCCAGCTAGCTGGTGCTAGCTTTCGTGATGACTGGAAGTTCCTTGGCCTCTCCATGATCATGTAGAACAGCCCAGGTGACTCCAAGTAAGTCTCATGCCTCAGCTCGGCCAAGCTGTCAACTGGTTGCGGTTTCAAAAGGGTGGGGAGTCACTGAAAGCATCACCCCAAAATACTCCATTGAATACTCCACCACTTCCCGCTCCAATCTTCCCAAACTGCGTGGTTTTCCCTTTGCCGTAAACAGTTCGTAACACTCTTCCAAGCCCTGCGCCAGCTGCCCTGACACTCTTCCAAACCCCGGTGGCAGCCCGCTAGTCGGTGGTGTCATCTTCGCCAGGTGACAGGGCGACCACATTTGGGTGTCCAGAGACTTCCTTCAAAAGCCGCGCCTCGTTCTTCGCCTCCCTGCGAATGAGGGGAGAAGTTTGGCTTTCAAAAGCTGTCGATGCAGTGACAGTCAGACCTTCGGTCATACGACACGGAACCAAAAACCATGTTGAAGCATATGAATTTGGGCACCCCCACCACCACCCCAAAGAAAAGAGCATTCTGGCCTATACTTCTGTAAGAATACAGGCACCGTGGCTTCTCTTCGACAAAGACCTGGTGACTGGGAGGGTATCCTCTTGCACCTGTTCATCCACCATCCAAGTGGGAAGTTGAAGTTTCCGTCTACAAACCCCAAGAGCAAACCCGCCTGAGGATGTCTTGATCCAGCCTCTCAACCTTTGCTCTTCAGTGGAGGCAGCGACCGCAGGCATTCAATTTGCAGTGAACACCACAGGATGTACAACTGGGTAGGTCTAGCTAAGCAGGTTAACAGTTAGAATCATAGGACTTTCTTGAATGCTAGCTGCTACTCATGTTGGTTGCTACTGGAAACGGTATTGAGACGGGGGGGGCACCTCCAATTCATTCCACTTTCGTAACGGTGCAGCACCGTGGATGCGGAGTGCTATTGGTCTCCTGTCAGCACTTCTTCGCCGGGGCAACCGCCCGGGCCGCACGGTTCACGGCCGAGGAACATCCCTGGAGCTACGCACGTCCATGATCTTCACAGCATACATTTCCCCAGAGTCCATCCTGACATACCAACGTCAACACTGATGTTTATTACATGAGCACTTGGTGCTCCCGAAAAAAACAAAAGAAAAGGCCTCTGGGATTTCAGTCAAATGCTCTGAGGGGGGAATGGAAGCAGCTAAGCAGGAATTCCAATCATGACTGCGTCAGCAGGATGTTGCAAGTCATCTGGCCTGCCATGTAACATCGCATGCCCATCATTCAATTCAGCCTCTGGCCCCCCACAAAACATCACCCAATTAAATTAACCATTGGCTTCATCCTCCCACGCTCCCACTGTACTCATCTTGCATCTCAACAAGTCTGCGAGACAAATGCCCCGACCTGGTGGTCAGGCGAACCTGCCCGAAGGCTCCCTCGCCCAACTTCTTACCAAGCTTGTAGTGCTGGAAGAATCTCAGCCGGTACGAGATCTTGCCGGGCCCACCACCACCACAACAACAACAACAACACCAACACCAACAACAGCCAAAAAGCAGCAGCAGCAGCAGCAACAACAACAACAACAACAACGGAACGAGTCTTGGAACAAGCTGCGATAGGAAGTAAACTTGTTTGTTAGCCCGCTCCTACTCAATTAAGTAGGGAGAAGTAAGCTACTAGGAGAAGTTCGCTCCAGCTAGGATGCAGGATAGCTCACACTTCCTCAAGGAAGCCGCCCCCGCCGCCGGGGGAGCTTCCTTGAAGAAAGCGCTTGCACTAATGATTTGGTTCCTAGATTCTTAGGGAGAAAACTTAGAGCAGGCCTGCACCTGCACCTTTCTCTTTTCCGTGGCCAGTCACACCTAATGATCTAATGCATTCCTGGTTGCCAAATTCAACCCGGGCCATAGCTTTGTTTGGGGTCCCTCCTCTTGGCACCCGGGGCCGCACAAGCTAGCATGATTTCCCCCACGAGCTGACACCAGCAGTTTGATCACCCAGCCTCTCATCAGGAGACAACCCAAATAAGTTTCTGAAGGATTATATCTGCGCGTTTACTAGGGCTTCATGAAGCCAGGCTAATGTAACCCCCAAAGTCGGTAGACTTGGTGGTGGCAGAAAATCTGCTTTCCCAGGCATCACGGTGTCATCAAGCACACGTCATCACCTCAACCGAGCTCCAGTCACTCAGCTCCACCGAGCTCAACCCAACCAGCTGTCTGCCACGCGGCTGGCCCTCAGCAGTGTCTAATGGTGTCACGCTCGCCTCAGGAAGCGAAGGCGAGGCACGAACGGCGGGCGGTTCCGGTGCGGCGTGGTGGAACGGTCCGTCGCTACCGTTCGTAGCGAGCTACCGTTCTATGCTCCGTTCGTAGCGTCCGAACGCTCCTAGTAGTAAGGCCAGGAGCCCCTAGTAGTTTCTTGGATAGATGTTACCAGCTATGCAAAGCGAGGAAGATAAACCCATCCGGGTCCGAGCGCAAGGGTGCTCCATGACCTGCATCTTGATCCACGCCATGTGGAGTTTCTATTTACAGTAGCCCGGACCCAACAGCTAAACTCAGTAGATCCATGCATCCTGGAATCCAGGTTATTTGAGAGCAGCAAACCCCCTCCGAAGTCCGTGATGAAACAAGTTCCCGATGTTGATGTTTGCTAAACATGTGCAGGTCTTGGGGAAAACGGTCCCACATTTCTTGTCACCTAAGCCTGGCGTGGCTACAATGTAGCCGCACACAGCACCCGCCACGAAGCAGGGACCCACGCTCCCAAGAGGATCAGGTGGCAAAATGGTTTCTGTTTCTATTGAACTGAAGTCTCCTTATTGCTCCCTGCCTCAAGAGAGGGGGAACGTGGCTGCCCTCGAGGATACTGATTCAGTAGTGTTCAGTGTTCACCAACAATTTTTCACCTAGCTGATTGTACTAGCTGAATTGAATGGAGCAAGTTCGATGTGTCTGCACCTTGCACGATGTGGCTCCTTGCTCCTTCTGCAGAACCGGTCCATAACTCACTCTTGTGTGGCTTGGCCAACAATTGGCTCAGCTCACTCACGTCGCCGCGTGAGCTGACTTGCTTCGATCTGGTATTTTGCATTGATTTCACCTTTCATGTGCTCGATGTTTTTCGCTACAAGTGGATGTCCAGGTCCACTATCATATGTCACGTTCGCACCTGTCTTTTGGGTTCCGGCCCTGTATGTTGCATTGTGCCCCGTGGTTGGGTGTGATGCACCACCCAGGAGGTGGATGGAAAGAAGAAACCAAAACAGGTTGATCATGTTCATCTTCTTTGGTTGGCTGGTAAATCCTCTTCGTATGATCCTAGCCCTGTCCAACCGCGTGCAAGGGGCGGATGAGACACACCCCATTTGGGCACTGGCCACGGACCACCAACGGCCACCTGAGGTCGAGAAGGAGTGGTCAGAAGCTGAAGGACCATCCGCCCAGCCGTTCACCCCCCCCACGGACATCACGACGCGGCGGGCGGCCAATGTCCAACGTTCAGCTTCATATAGCCAAGGGTGGTTCGGAGTTCGTTGGATTGCGAGAGCAACAGAACAGCAGGAGCAAATAAAGTGTGGAAAGGGAGAGAAACAGCAAGTGTATATAGCATGCCGTGCATCGGTTTGGTATTGATCAAGGCCTCAAGTTATTAGGTCCATTCTTGCCTGCGGTGGATGCCCCAGCCCATCTGCAGCCTATCCCCATCCGTCATCCCTCCCAACCCATATATCAATCGGACTTCCACACCTCACGTAGCCAGCACATGCTCGTTTTGCCCGAAAAGCTGCATCTACTCATCGGGCTCGGAGCAAAAAAACTGCGGTGACAAAAACAAATGCGGAGATACCCGGACTCACCCGAATGAAGTCGAAGGAAGGCCAACCCTCTACCAACAGGGGGGTCCCATTCCCATGGTGGAAAAAGTCGATGCTTCTCGCCCCAAATCCTGCCACCAAAGGATATTTTTCCTCAACTAAGTTTGACCCTAACGACCGCAGTGATGCCCCGGGTAACTTCCACGCTCGTTGTCCAAAGCGAAGGTGGCCAAGCAGGACTTCAGGTCTTGTCTGGTGGCTTCGAAGTTCCTTCTGCAATACCGTGTTCGAGGGTGCGGTACAGTTGGGATCAACACGAGCACGCTGAGTACGCTGAGTACACGCGGAAGCCTTAGTTGCACATATGTCACATATGTTATGTGTATGTATATATATATATTTTTTAATTTAGTTATATTTGATTGATTGATTGACTGACTGATTGGTCAATAAATGTGTATGCAACTATATATATATATATACGGTTGTTTCAGTTTCCACTCACCATAATGTTTGCGGACGCACCCATGGCCACTGCTTGGTCAAAGGCAACATCAACATCAGATGAAGAGGATTGACCTTCCAAATCTAGTTAATCTAGTTCCACATGTTCCCTATGTATCGGTGCATGCATGCATGCATGTAACACATTACATTACATTACATTGCATTACATTACATTACACTACATTACACTACACTTTACTACCATACCATTGCATTGCATTCCATTACATTACCTGGACCTTTATACATTACATCCTAGATAACATAACACAAAACAACATATCATAGCATCAATTTACATTACGTACATCATATACATACCTTATATGCATCATACATTACATTTTAAACAAACATAGCATATACTTGCATAACATTACATTTCATTACATCAAACATTACTATATAAATGGAATTAGCTTCAGCTTCATGCAACTCCGAGCCCGCCCCATCCCGCCCCTTTCTTCGTCCGCTTTTGGAAAGGAGGCCGCCAGAGCTTCCAGCGCAGCATCCACGACCTCGGCAGCTCGCCCCTTAGGCATCCTGATTTAGTCTTAAGAAGAAGAAGAAGAAGCAGGAGGAAGAGGAGGAGCTCTGAGTGGCACTGGCCAGGTGTGGTTGAAAAAGACCCTTTTGCCCAGGTATAGTATAGGTGTATCAAGGTCAGCGGGCAATGGAGTTCCTGAGTGATCTCCCGTGAACACCAGGCAGGATTCGCTTCTTGTCGAGCAAAATATGCCGTACGCCTGCTTCTGCACAGCACCACTGACAGTATCGCATCGGCTCACCGAGAGGAGAAAAGAAGATAAACATAAAGGAGCTTTGCCGAAGGAGCTCCAAATTCCCGGCAAAGCTCCATGCACTTCGTCATGCCCACGGCACGCATCATGGTGCCTCATGGTCGGAGACTGGCCACATCAGAAATTCGAGCAAAAAGCGGACCCCCAACCCAAGACTCATGTTCCTCGGGACCACCGCCCATGTCGCTCAAGACGCGGTGGAAGGTTCTTCAACCGCAGGACGAGAAACTTCTCAATCGCTACTGAAACCCGGTCATCTTCGTAACACGCCGAATGTTTAGATGCCACAAGCCAGCGGGCCATGTATACTGCATCACCACATGATAAGCCGCGGACCAGCCAGGGTGTCCCACCATACGCGCTTCCCCTCCACAGGACCGAGAGGTTCCCTTCATGTCTTTCTGCTCAGCGGCGCATCAGCTTGGTGTCGGGCCGCGCCGAAGAGTTCCTCATCCAACGCCGGAAGAGCTCCTCCGCCTCCACGGTGCGCCTCCAATCGGCACAGGGGGGGCCACTATTCTTTGTTGAATCTGGTGGAATCAAAAAATGCGGCATCTTACACCCAATAATATCACAGGATATTCTAAGAAAAGGGCACCCCTGGCTCTAGGTGGCCATTTCGGATGCGCGCGATTGCCAATAAGGCGACTTAAGGAGTCTCATGTATTTCGGCATGCCGTCCCACCACGTCCAAACCATACACGACTCCGACAACATGCTGTCCCAACACGTGCAAGGAGCGACTTTGACCCGTCTGAGTCGCCGTCTTCCACTCCGCACCCGGCCTGCCTAGGTCGGCTCTTGGCACAGACCTCGATGGCCGAGGTCACTGCGATGATGTTCGGCGCGACCAACTGCGACTCCATGGCCTTGCCGATGAATCCGACACGATGGGCTTACAATTCAATGCCAGTCAGCGCGCTAGATGTCCTGTGATGTCCTGTGATCGGCACGCTGCGTGAAAATTACCTGCACCCGGCCTGCCAAAGGCTTGATGCCTCATCGGATTTTGCACTTCGTGCGCAGGCCTGGCAGCTCCAGTTGATGCGGGAATTCTTCCCTCATCATCCTCCAGTCGAATCGTCTTTGTGTATGTCTTCCCCATTCTGGAAGGAAAGCAGGCACACAAAACCCCCAGTATCGCGTGCTTTCGACAGTATGGCGTGCTTTCGAGTGTATCGCACCCCAGTTGTCAAGAGGGACCTGATCTGTTCAAAGTGTAATAATTGACGTGACTAAATTGACTGTGGTACATCAAATGCACCCCCCCCCACCAAAAATAAAACACAACCACCCTGCCCATCCAGCCCTTCATTTTTCTTAGCGCACGTGGAAGGGTGATGGTGCCACGGGAGAGTAGCCTCCGAAAGGGCTGAAGTGTGCTGCACCTGGGGTCCCCACTGCATGGTGGCGCTGGGGCGTCGGGAAGCCGGAGGAGGGAGTCGGCACGGGTGACGGGGCTTGAAGTTGTGCCACTTGGACTGGCAAGAAGCTGCCACCTGGCGTCGCAAGCTGGCCGACATGCTTACATACGGGGAACGTTGAGGCCTAGCCGAGCCGGCCTTGCGAGACAAAAAAGGCACGTGCGCTTCACAACTACTGTGGGAAGAGGAGCTCCTACAGATTGAGGCAAAGGTTCTCCCAAGCACATCAAGTAAAAATAAATAAATAAATAAATAGAAACAAGAAACATCACTTTCCAAGGACACTCGCCCTCCCGGTCCCCCTTCGTTCGTCTTTCACGCCTTGCGGCTGGCTTGGCGCAGCATGCACAGGTCTTCTGGCACGGGAGCTGGTGCGCCGCTTCCAGATCAGCGTGTAGTAGGCCAAGGCGGCCATGGCCAAAACCACGGTGAGAAGGAGACTGACCTGGCAGGAAGGGAGGTCAAGGGTGTCGTCTTGCCCCCAGCCCGGCATTCCACAGGGTGAAATGAGCATGAGTGGTTGGGCAGGCTATGCCCCTGACAAACAAATCACACAAGAAACTCACTGAGCAAATTGCAGCGCACCAAAACCCAGGGCCAAATGCGTGGCCCCTCGGCATCCAAATGTGGAACCACCATGTTGGCAGGTACGCGTGATGCAGCTCCATCATCCACATCCGCCATGGTTTGGTTCGGGCAGTAGTGATGGATGTACTCCCCTGCAATGATGTCTGTTGCATCTGTCGTCAGCGCTGCAGTGGTCAATGGGTATTGCACCACGTGAGTCTTACTCAACATCGGCGCGTCAACGAAGCAGCCCCCGGTCTGGGAGAACTGCCAATACTGACAGGCGATGTTGGAGTAACACCAAGCCTGAGGTTTCATCTCCCCAGAAAACAAAGAAAAACAAATATAAATAAATGTATATATATATATACAAACACACACAGATATATATATATATATAATATATATATACAGCACTGATGCTCACAAGACCCAAGGAAAAGGCAAAAAAAAATCATGGACCATGAACCAACCCTTCCCTCCTTGCATTGCTCGATGTGAAGTGCATCTGAGCCCTGGCCACCCAGCTGGAAGAGGTTCTTCACCTTCACCTCGCCCCGCGTCGGTATCCCGGTGCCCTCGGAGCTCCCAAGGCCGGTGCCCCGCGTCAGTGCCCCTGTCATCCGCCTAGCCGCTGAAGTCTCTGGTCCCAGCCGAGAATTCCCTGAAAGAACTCCAAATCAATTATTTTTTATCCTTCCCTTTTCTTGCGACTTTGGATGCAAGTTGCCCAGTCGCTCCCTTCATAACCAGCCAGCCCAAGTCACCCCCACCAACTCCCGCACCACGTAGACCGTGCCATGCAGCAGCCGCTGCGCCAACACCTCCTCCGCACTCAGCGCGGCCGGTGTCGCAGACGCGGCGGCCCCCGGGCCATCGCAACGGACACCGAAGCCCACCTTGGCACCGAATCGGGGAAGTGATGAGATGTGGGTGGTTGTTTTGCAGAGTTCCCAAAGCAATGCTTGTTTATGGTTGACTTTCGCTCAACTTTGTGAACCCCACGGCTAACATTGTTTAACTCTTGCTGAGGGTCATGCCCTAGAAGTCTGTGCACATGAGCATATTGTTGCACAGAACCATTCTGTCCGCGGCTCAAACTTACCCGGTGTTTCCGTCTGTGGTTGATCAGCTCCCGGACGAAAACGAGAATCTAGCGTTCCGATTGGTCGGAGGGGAAGAACACTCAATTCCATAGCCGGCTGTGACTGTGACATCTCCTTTCTCCGGCGTTCGCTCCCTTTCGGTGAGG